GCGGGGAGAGACGCTACCCCTCCGCAGGCCCCGCCCCCACTCAAACCTTGCCCCCATCAGACCCTGTCGGACTCGTCCCTAGAACAGACCCCGCCCCCGTGCAGGCCCCGCCCCCCGGGAGCGTGCACGCGCTGACCCTTGACGATGAGCTCTGCGAAGTTGGAGACTCCCGCTCCACGCGGGGCCTGGGACACGCAGCGGTACAGATCCTGCTCCGCGCGACCCACGGCGGCCAGCGAGAAGGTGGCCATGAAGCGACGATGGCTGATGTGCCGCACCCCGGCCGCGGGCACCAACGCCCCGCTCTGCCTCTGCTCGAGGAGAGGTGGGGACAAGGTCAGGGACGCCAGTGAGAAAGAGTCTCGCTCTGAACCTGGCGAGAGGAGTAGTTACTGTGCTGGCCCCATTTAGCTGTCCCTACTACACTAGGGGCACATGAGTTCCTGAGACCGACTCCGCCACAGGAAGGAAAGGTGGTCGCTCTGCCTTTGATAGAGAGTGTAGCTGAGGGATCTTGGAGCCGCGCTCTGTCCTGGGGCGATGGAGGCACCCAAGAGGGCACAGCAGAGCCTAGGTACGTGTTTGGGTGCTGAAGGATGAAGGAAGGACTCAGCACCCCTTAAGGGAACCAGGGCCCACAAGAAGTACCCTCCTTACCTGCAGGAGGAAGCGCTCAGCCTCCGCCGCTCTGCCAGCCGCCATGCACTGGAACGAGGCATTCTGGCCCGCGTTGACCTCCACGTCGCCCAGGCGGGAGAAGTGCGGGGCCTTTGCTGCCATAACAAAGCAGTGGCGTTAGCTGAACCTGCTCCCCCGCAAGAGCCGTAGCCTCCCGCACCCCTCACCTTGCACCCCAGTGGGGCTGGGACTCACCGCAGGGGTAGCTGAGAAGCAGGATGTCATCTAGGCCTATGTAGCCCCTTCGGTCTGGGGAGATAAGGGCCTCAAACAGCACCTGGGGAATCAGGAGGGTCCCTGTCACACTGACGTCTCTCCAGCCCTGCCTGGGGAGGTGCCCACAAGAGTCCCCTTTCAGCTCTGCTCCAGTCCCATCCTCAACCAGCAGAGGTTAGCCCAGCTCACCATGATCCTCCCAACCAAGCCAGCTAGTTTGGGGGGCGGGGGAGAGGGTAGCATCCAGAGCCAACAAGGTCAAGGCCACAGATACAATCCCAATCCTGGACAGTTCCCTTCAAGCAGCAAAACTTTTCCCAGCCAGTCAAGGTTTCCAGGTCAGCACAGTTCCAACTTACCTTTGACCCGAGCTACAGACTATTTGTATTAAGAATGACCTTTGATGCTGAATCCAGACAACCATCGCTGAATAACCCAATGCTGATCACGAACTGACCCCTAACCTTGGCCACAGAGAGACTCTTGATGCTGAACACAAATCAATTCCAACCTCAGCCACTCACTTACTTTGACCTCAAACTGACACCCCTCTATCCCAGCCCCCAAGCATAGGCTGACTACCGACTGAACCCAGCCCACCTGATATTCATTGGGCCAGAAGGTGCTCACAGCCAGCTCAGCCTGGTGCCACTGCCGGCCGTGGGATCCAGTCATATTCCAGACGGCACTGCCCAGGGGACCCCCATTGACACGCACGTAGATACCCAAGGTGCCTGGGCTGTGCCCATCCCGGCTGTACAGGAAGTAGCTGAACTGTACACAGTGAGTGTCATTCTCACTCAGGCTCTGGAAGATGACATGGGCCCGCTGGCCTGAGGCATGCTGGGAAGCATTGACCATCAAGTAGGAGCCTAGAAAGAGAGGAGGAAGAGTCAGGAGCTGAAGAGACCTTGGAGAACCAGGGTCAAGTGGGCACAGAGGAGGGGGCAGAAACAAAGGACTCCAGGCATTTGGACCCACCATGACTCAGGGGTTCTAAGTTCTGGTCCCAGCTCTGATTGACTGGGTAAGTCCCTTCACTTCCCTGCATCTGTTTTTCAAAGGAGAATTTTGGAGCAGCAAAAAGCATACAAATATAACTTTGTCAAAATCCTTTATGGCTCCTCACCACCTACAATCACAATCCAAGCTCAGGCTGATCCAAGGCTTTCCTCATGTTCTGAGCTGTCTGTCCTTGGAGGCAGGGACTAGGTCATTCATCTCAGGAGTCAAGAGTCTGGCACAACAAGCCCTCAAAGACCACCTCTTCTGAAAGACCCCCTCCAATCCCCTCTCTGGGCTTCTCTCCTGGCCCTTAAATCATTAATAAAGGTGTATATGTTCCATCAGCCTGTAATGCCTCAGGGCTCCACTGTGTCCCCAGCACTGGCTCTGAACCCAAGCTGAATGAAGGTGTAAAACAGGTTGAATGAAAGGACTCTAACTTCCCTTCCAGCCCCTACCCCTAAATCTAAATTCCTGGGATACAATTCTCTTGATTTCCAACCTAGAGAAAGGCAGCCCTCCCCCTTCCCCAGAGATCCAGTCTGTGTGCTGACCTGAGGGTAGGGTTCAGGAGTGGGTTGGACTCCTCAGGACCAGCCTGGGGGATTATGGCTTCCCTTCCATGGGGAGCAGGCCCCAGGAGCTGCACACAGACACCCAGCACTGCCTCCTCCTGGGCCTGGCTGCCAGCCAACATAAGCTCATTCAGCTCCCTGCTGTGGGAGGACTCCCCAGGGACTTCATTGGAAGGGATCTCATTCATCTCTGTGAGGCTGTGAAGGAGGCTCCTGACTCAGTCCTAGTGGGTATAGTAAACAAAACCCCCGGTCCCCATCCCACCTAGGAAGGGGCAGATCCCAACCCTGAGTAGTCAGTCTCTCTTGGCCCACTCCTCCGTCCTCCTCCCTCCTCTCCCTGTGAGCAGCTGTATGTTTTTCTCCCCCTTTCAATCTGACAGTTTTTGCCTCTTCCTCCTGCTCCCTCTGCCTCTCTCCTCTCTTTTCCCTGCGTTTTTCTCACTCTGCATCCCTCCCCTCCTCTTTCATTTACTCCCTTCGCCCCTGTGGCTCTTCTTTCTCCTCTCTCCTGCTCTCTTTCTCTGAGCGTGAATTTCCCTCCTTCCTTTTCTCTCCACCCCCAACACCTTCCCCTAGAACGTGAGTGCCAAGAGAGCAAAGACTGTGTCTGTCTTGCTAACCACTGCATCTCCAGGATCTAAGACAAGGCCTATGTTATATGCTAAATGTCTCTCTCTCCTCTCCCAGTAGATATATCTCTGCTCGTGGGTGAGAGAGAAAGGGGCAGAGCCCACACAGGGTGGTCAGGACTGTTAGAGGTGAATTCAAATCACATTGCATCTAAGTGCCAACCATGTACCAAACTGAGGCTGGGCCCTGGAGGTATGGAAACAGCCCACACAGTGTGCCTACCATGGGCGGCACCTTGACAGATCACTGTCACATGGGTCAGACTTCAATACCTGATAATACAGAGGTTGAACAAAGAGCTGATAGCCATGAGAACTCAGAGATGAAAGCCCTAGGGAGGGCACAGTGACACAGAAGGGGGAGGCAGGGAGGCCTCCAGGACACAAGGCCAGTGGTAGAGGATGAGGGTCTGGAGGCCGTCCGTGCCAGGTGGTAGAGAGCCTCTCTCTTGTTGGCTTCAGGTCCTGGCCCCAGCACTAAGAACCTTTGCTGCCCCTCTCCCACACCCTTGACAGTAGATGCCATCTTGGCCATGCTATGAGCTGAGCAGCTAGACCCAGGCCCACTACTGTGATAGGGCAAAGAGGATGGGTCCACAGGCTATTCAATGTTGGGGTGCTCTCAGCAAGCCCAACTGGTTCTCACTCTATGCTATGCCCCCCAACCCAGGCTTTATCAGTAATACCGTTGATAATTTGGCCTCTACTTGTCTTTTCTTAACTCCAAGTTGATTCTGTACCCAGTGAAAAGGGGTGCTAGTAGTTGGACCTCCTCAAATACCTCCAATAATAGCAACTAAAACTTAATCGAACCCCTACATGCTACACACACATAATATACTTTATAGGTATTATATAATAACCCTATGAAATAGATTATTGTTCTCTCATTTTACAGTTAGGAAAATGGAAGATCAGAAAAATTAAGTGACTTGCCCAAGGTCATACAGCTGGTAAAGTGATAACACCAGGATTTGAAGCCGTCTTCATAATTCTGGAACCAGTGCTCTAGGGTCCACCATCAGAGTAGGTGGGCAGTACTAGAATCCACATAATTAATCTCCTGACTCCCAGTCTGGTGCTCACAATGCCAAAGCGCCCCATACTGAAATATGGACAGGGCAACATGGAAATCGGGATGGACCCAGGACTTACAGGAAAAAGAGGGCAGAGGAAGGAAGGTTTTACATACATGCAGCCCCCATGTTACTGTTCTATCAGCATCTTCAAGTCCTGGGAAACCAGGATTCAGAAGCTCTCAGGATGAAGAGAGCCCCCCAGAAGGTGGAGGATTTAGGAAGGTCTGGTGGGAGTAGGGGTGGATCCCGAGCCAAGCTGCAAGAGGAGTAATGGGAGGTGGGTTTTAACTTACAGTTTGTAGGGGTCTTTGAACCTGCACCCATTTTACAGGTAAAACTACCTGGTAGACACAACTGGACAGTATCCAGAGGGCTCCACATTCACAGTGTCATATATGTCATTACAGATGCCAAGTCAGATGAGGCCCAGAGAGGTTACGTAATGTACCTGAGGTCACACAGCAGGTGGGTAGAATGCCCCTGGAAGGAGTCAAAGGGGGAATGGTGATTGAGAATAAGCTCACCGTGGGGCAGGTCTGCAGGCGCCCGGGTACCAGGGTGGATCCGCACTTGCTCCCATTGGAAGTCATCGTACTGGGCTTGGCTGAACTCGCATGGCACTGCTGGGTCACTCGCCTCCTCGAAGGTGCAGCCAGCTGTGAGGGCAGGGCCTGGTTAATGCAGGCTAGGGTAGGGCTGCTGGCCAGGAGGGCTCCTGGGACTTCCTTCCAGGTGCCCTTACACTGTGCCCTCCTACCCAGGCCCACCCACCCCCTGCTCCCTCTCCGCAGGCCCTCCCCCCATGGCTCCCGCCAACAAAACTCTCCCTCCTTCACCCTATCCGCCTACCATGGCCCTCTTTTCACTGTCTCTTCCCAATACCAGACTCCTCAGTAATCTCCAGGACCCCCAACTGCTCAACCACCCATCAAAGACCCTCCTCAACAAAAACTAGTTACCATTATTATATCACTAGAGCCTCGCAACAACTCGTGAGAATAGGGCTATAATTATCTCCATTTTACAGATGAGAAAACCAAAGCCCAAAGAGGCTGAATGACTTCCTGAAGATCACACAACTAGTTAGTGATAGAGGTGGGATTTGAACTGAACTCTCTTGACTGCTAGTCAGTGTCCCATCATCTACCCCTCCATCTTCTGCATAGAAGACGGATCATGAGCTCCGGGATGGGCAGAGTCATGAATGCCCTAAACCAGCCCTGAGGTATTTCCTTAAAATCAACAATGGCCACCGATCATCTCAGACTTACGACAAGCCCTGAACAGTGCTAAATGCTCTAGGTGCAAAGTCTCATTCAGGCCTCACCCTCTGAGGTAGGTACCACTATTACTCCTATTTGACAGATGAGCTTAAGAAATTCAATCATTGCCCAAAGTCACCCGACTTAGTTCTCTGCCTGCAGAAATGTGACATGCAAAAACATAGTCATGTGTGGACTGGGTACACACATAACTAGAGGAAGCAAAGTCTCAAGATTTGGATCCAATATTTACAGTTTAAATGAGAAGAGGAGAAGGAAAAAGAGATTGAAATAGATGTGAGGTCTTTGGTTGGTAATGAGGTCCATAAATCTCAGCTAGCTCATCAAAGCCTCGAGTCAGGCACCTAATAAACGCCACTGGTTCAGAAAGTAACTGCTCACTGGCCCCTGAACTCACTCCTGAACCTCAGTGTTTAGAGACCCATGGGGGGTAGTCTAAAGCATCTGAGACCAGGAAAACACCTGAGCGAGTGGTGAGGAAGCAGGCACGAATTGTGCCAGCCCCTGTCCTGAGTGCCTGCCAGCCACTGGTACTTCTCCCCATTTGACAGATGAGGTGCCTGAGGCTCTAAGGGGTAAAGGGTTTGTCCACAGCATAACATGGTAGATGAGTGAGTGGCCTTTGGCATCAGACACACTTAGGATTGAATCTTGACTCTGCAATTTGCCACCCTTGTGACTAGGCAGGTCACTTCACCTTTCTGAGCCTCAGTTTCCCCATCCACACATGGGATTGCTGTGGATTCAGTGCAGGGGTCCACTCAGCACAATGCCTACACATGCAAGCACTCAGGAAATAGCAGCTCCTCACGTGTGCTACTTAAGTCTACGTGAGTAACAGAAGGATTTGAACCCATATCAGTCAGTTGCCAAAGTCCACACTGCCCACCAGAAAAGCTTTCACTATGAGAAGGAGCAAACCTGAGCGGCTTCCTAGGTTCAAGAAGAGGATGTAAGAGAAATAGGCAGTAATTGAGGAGTGACTGCCCCATGCCAAGCACAGTGATGGGCATCTGCAGACACAGCCAGTGACACTTTAAGAGGCTCTTGTTTCATCTGTAGCAGGAACTTCTCTAAGTTGTTATGCAGATCACATGAAGTAGCATCTGGAAACACATCCAGCAGAGCCAGGCACAAAAGGGCTCACCCTTTACCTTTACTTTTCTTGGACCTCACCAGAGTGTAAAATCATGATGAGAAGTGGGCACGAGGCTGACACTGAATGGATGGGAGGAAATAACAGAAGCTGCTCTCCAGAGCTGGGGCAGGACCTGAACTGAGCTCTTTGCCTCTTTGTGTGAAAATCTCTGGTCAGCATAGTGGCTGTAGCCTATAGGAGGTGGGTTTTAACCCCATCTGTTCTGGGAGGGCCTCAGCTCTCCCACTAGAAAATGATCCACACAGCACAGCAGAGAGAGAGGACATGGCCAGTTGGGATGGTCAGAGAGGGCTTCCTAGAGAAGGCTATAGTTGATTTCATTCAGCCTGAGCTGAGTCTGCTCCTGAGGGTCTTAGCCAAGGCCTCCCTGAAGCAGAGGGACTGCCAAAAAGGGAAGCCCAGGATTTAGAGCCCTGGCTGGGGCTCAGGTCCTTCCTGTTCCTTTGCAAGTAACAAGGCAGCTGCCCCAGATGTCTCACACATGGCCCTGGGGCAAGCCTGGGAGTGCCAGTTCCTTGGCTTCCTTCTGTCCATCCTAAGCCAGGCCACATGAGCTGCCAGGACTCCCAGACTGACAGACCTGGTCAGAGAGACCCCAATACCAACTGACCTTAGAGTAGCCCCCTGCCTGACTAACCCAAGTAAGTGACCCCACCCAGACAGATAGACCTGAGCCAGAGCGGCCCCAAGCTGATTTTCCCTGGCCATAGTGGCCCCATTGTCATCCAGAGGACTGCCAAACCATCTGACTTAAGCCAGATGACCAACAGACTGAATGACTAACCCCAGACCTGCTGACCATGGCCAGAGTGACCCCTGATCTCTGCCAAATAATTCCTACAACTGACCCCAGCCAGGGTGACCTCCCTGGCTGACTAACCACATCCAGAGTGGCCTCCAGAGAGAACGACTCCCTGGTCTGTGTCCGTCCCCAGCCCCGTGTCTCTGGGCAAGGCCCATCCCAGCCACAGCCCTTATAGGGTAACATCTCTGGGGCCAGGCTTACCAAGGCGAGCCCCACCCTCATCTCTTCCCCAGCTCACCCTGGGTTGGGAACAATCAGCCCTCCTAGGCCTCATCACCTCCAGTCTAGAAGATTCAGTAGCCAAGATCCCCAAAGCCAAGTCTCAGCTCCTGCTAGAGACCAACTCCTGCCAGAGGCCACCATCCTGGAGTAAAAAGCTAGATCAGACTTTGGGTTCAGAGCGAGAGTGGTATCCCTCTCAAGTCCATCAACACAGATGTCAACACAGACATGTACACACACATCAACACCACCACGAGGGCTGCCACTCACCGCCGTGACCACCTGTGCTGGTGAACCCTCACAGCAACTCAGAAGGTAAGTACTATTATTGTTCCTGTTTAACAGAGGGAAACTGAGGCACAGAAATAATAGGTGGCTTGCTTGGAGCCACGCCTTTAGTCCCAGGAGCTGGGACTTAAGCCACCTATCTTTATTCGAGGAGACTAGGCAAAAACAAAATCAGGCCCTGGTATACTGCTGCCCACATGTGTTAATTCAGTGCCATTCACAGAACAATTCAGTGCAATAACAGTACAAAGCAGGTCCCAGGCTGTCACTATTAGAGGCATACACATGGTTAAGACTCCACCTTGCCCTCAGACCTCCTGGTATGAGTAAGGAGTAAGGGAATAAAACAAATGACAGGCCACAAGGGACATCCAAGGGAGGAGGGTGGGAGCAGAGGAAGGCTTTCTGGAGGCGGGTGCACCTAAGCAGAGCCTGGAAGGATCGCTGTCATTCTGACCAGTAGAGATGAGTGGAAGGGCATTTGAGGCAAAGGGCCCAGCGGAGGCAGGGGAAGGCAGTGCGTAAACACAGAGTTCCTCCAGGGCACAGAGAGAAGCCCAGATTGGGGTAACAGTGGGAAATGAGACTGGGAGGGAGGAGGGTCGAGATTACATAAAAGAGGCCTTAAATGCCAGGATGGAGAGTTTGGCCTCCTTTTCAGTTGGGAAGCCACAGTAGGTGTTTGAGCCAGTAGCGCTTGGATTCAGATGAGACAAGTGATATAGCCTATAAACCATCAGGAGGGCAGATCACTTCTCCAGAGGGCACTATAGGATGAGGAGTGGGACAAGCCACCAAAGGGTCGAGAGTCAGATGTCAGGAATTGGTAAGGAAAAGGGCCTCAAGTCCCCATGCTGGATGCAAATAGCACACACTCCAATCTTACCCAAGGAGATGCACCACACATACATACACACACACACACTGGCCCACACTCAAATATTCACACACACACACACACACACACACACACACACACACACACACTCCCTTCCCCTAGCCTAGTCTAAGCTTTGGGGACACAGTCTCAACTGGACTAGGGACAGGAAGAAAACCAGGCCCCACCTGGGGTACCCCATCTCTGCCAGGACCTCCCAGAGAGGGTGGGATGAATCAAAGCAGGACCCCCAGCCTCAACTCAAACTGGCCCAGCTACATTCCTCAGCTAATCTCCCCAATCTGGCAGGCGGTTGCCTGAGCAACCGTCAGCCACAATTTGGGAAGGCAGGAGGATGGTTTATCCACATCCGGCTGGGCTCTGGATGGGGTGATGTAAGGGGCAAAGCAATCTCTGCAGGAGGAGTCAGAGTGTGGGAGAGAGTCCCCTGGATGTAAGCCTGGTATGAGGATCTCTACCCTTCCACGTGGATGTGTTTTCATATGGTGCGCGCGCACGTGCACGCGTGTGTGTGTGTGTGTGTGTGTGTGTGTGTGCATGGCTGTGAGAGTAACAGGCTGATACCAACTTGTAAGTACTCAACTGGGAGGCAGGAGACCTGGATCTAATTCTTGCTGATCCTCTAACCCCCTGTGTGACCTTGGGCAGGTGGCTTGCCCTCTCTGAATCCTTGCTTCCTCACTTATGAAATGAGAATGGAGAACCAGGTGACCTCTAAGCCTGCTTCAGCCTCTCTCTCCCCCTCCACGTGGATGTGTTTTCATATGGTGCGCGCGCACGTGCACGCGCGCGTGTGTGTGTGTGTGTGTGTGTGCATGGCTGTGAGAGTAACAGGCTGATACCAACTTGTAAGTACTCAACTGGGAGGCAGGAGACCTGGATCTAATTCTTGCTGATCCTCTAACCCCCTGTGTGACCTTGGGCAGGTGGCTTGCCCTCTCTGAATCCTTGCTTCCTCACTTATGAAATGAGAATGGAGAACCAGGTGACCTCTAAGCCTGCTTCAGCCTCCAGAATTCTGATTCCATTTGTATGAGTATGCATGTGAGCAAGAATTACCTGAGGGCAGAGAGAGAGGCTATGGGGGAGAGGCGAGGGTGAACATGGGCATCCCAGGCAGTGTGCTGTGAAGTTGTGGGTACAGTGTAGGTATACATTTATGTGCAGAGGTATATGAGCATATCCAGTGATAAGCACATGCCTAAGGGAGAAGGTGAGTGTACGTGGCAGGGTAGAGAGAAGTTGTGCATGTGTGTTTGTGGGTGTTGGTGTGGGTGTGTGCGTGTGAGCACTACGACAATGTGAGCACTAGACTTTCCTGACCACCAGACAGAGAATCGTGCTCTGTGTCAACTGCGTCGGCCAGCTGTTTTCTGAAGACCCTAGGTAAACAGAGTCTGTTTGCAAGGAGATTTTTGTTTCCTTTGGTTTGCCAATAGAACTTCCAGTTCCCAAGGGTGGCCCCAGGAGAAACAAAGCTTCTCCCAAAAGATTACACATTTAAGGGCTGGGATCACACCCAATCTCATGCACAGCCCCAACCCTGGCCTGGGGAACCCAAATACAATCCCAGTGACAACACAGGTCTATTTCATCATTCAAAGCCACACCCCTACTCTAGGTAGCCCCGCCCAGCCCTGGAACCCACACTGGCCTCACCCCCTGGACATTCTTGCCCAACCCAGTCCCATCCATCCCAACTACCGATCTAACTCAGACCTAACAGCTACCTCCTCCCTTCCGGAGGTTAGGGACTGTCTCTGTACCTTTGAACCCCATCCCTAAACCCTGTGTAGAGTAGATGGCCAACAGTGGCTGGGCTATTGACCCCATGATCCCAGAGAGTCTGACCCCAACGAACCCCACCCAAGCTCAAGGACCATGTCTCCAGCTGAGTGACCCAGCCCACTTCATGCTCTCCTCGTCCAGATCAAAACATCCAGATTTCAGCCAGGGCTCTCCAAAAGCTGCCACCAGGGAGATCACCCAGAGCATGCCGCAGGAAGAATAAGATGAGCTGGGATCCCTACAGGAGCCAACACTGAACCCAGCAATGCCAACATCCTTCCATCTCCACTGAGGATAGAAGGAAGCTAACTGTATCAGGGGGAACTTAAGCCAGACCCACTCCCCATCTTCCTGATCAATATACATCCCCAAATCCCAAAGTTATGGGCAGGGCTGCCATATTGGCAGTATATGGGAAGGCACAGGATAGAATCAGACTCCACACAGAGGCAAAGGGCTGAATGGGGTACCTGTGCTGTATAGAGGTACAATGGGCAAAGAGTACATAGACCCTTGCAGTGCAGACACCCTGTGTCATTTGAAAACACAGTGCAGTGTGAAGATCTATACTTTCTAACTGTCCCGTGAAGAGCGAGGGCTAGGTAGTGCCATGGTGTGGTGTGCTGAGGGTATAGGGCAGGAGTGCCACACTGTACAGAGGCAGAATGCAGTTATACAACACAGGGAAGCAGAGCACACAGTGTGCACAGCCCCCGATACAGACACTTGGAACAGCACATGGAACAGAACTGCAGAACTGGTCAGTGCCATGATGCAGCGTAGAGGTGCCCCATCCATCATTGGCATGACCCACAACTTCACAAAGGCACAGCCCACCAGTGCAGTGCATTTAGTGGTACACTGGGCTGGCGCCCAGTGCTAAGTGATAGGTGTTTGTAGGAATGCCCAGGTGCTAAGTTCAAGCTCACACATACTTCTCCCCCTCCAGACACTAGCCCAGGGCTAGGCACATAGTTGGCGCTCCAAAAATTCTCACGGAAATGATTTTGTGTCCGCTGTAGGCATGTAGAACAGCCCAGAGATACAAGGACGAGAAGGATGTGGTGCAGTGCAGAAGGAACTGCTGGATGTGGAAACCCAGTCCAGAATACAAGCTCGACACAGTCCCGAGGAGCAGAGTAGGTGTAGATGCGGGGGCAGAAAGTGGTACAAACATGGAATGCAGTGACGGTGCTGTGTGGAGCAGTAAATTCAATGCAAGGGCTCTGGGTCCTGAGATCCAGCAGAGTGCACACAACCCAACAGTGAGCAGGTACAGTGCAGGGTTCAGGTCTGGCGCAGTAATGCTGTGCAGTGCAGATGCAGCACTGGGTACCGTGCAAAGATGCTGCCCATAAAAACTCAGGCCAGTCCCAAAGCCCACCAAAGTGGCTCCAAACTGCAGTGTAAGTATAGATCCCCTGCACAGCATGCAAGGAGGGGTGGAGGTGCATGGAGTGAGGACGTTCCATACAAAGATGTCGCTCAACTGGGGCTGCCAAGAGAAACCTGGGCAAGGCCACCATCCGACACCTCGGTGGTAATACACAGAAAGGCCAGGACCCCACAGCGGGCAGATTACAGTAGCAGTGGTGCAGTGTGAAGCGCTGGGCCAGGCGCAGGCACGGATCCAGGGCAGTGCAGCGAGGCGGTGGGACGGAAGAGCTATGTGAGGCAAAGATGCACTGTGTTGGTGCAGTGCAAATAGTAGAATGCAGAGGGGCTGTGCCCAAAAACTCAGGACGTCCACATAACCAGTGCAGTGTGGATGCCCACTGCAATAATGCAGTGCAGTACAGAGATGCCATATGATGCAAGATGCAGTGTTGTGGTGGCATGCCATCTGTTGGCACAGCACAGTGGTGCACTGCTAGGAGCTATGCCCAAATTCTAGGAGAGTCTACAAGCCCCATGCCACAGTGATGGCTGATAGAGTAAGACCACACAGAAGAGAGCTGCAAAGACACAAATGGCCATACAACTGCAGGACGGAGGTACAGTACAATGGGACCATGCAGAGACGGAGCCCGCAGAAACCCAGGAGAGTCCACAGAGCCAATGCAATGCAGAATCCCAGCTCGGTCATGCAGTGCAGGGCTGAGATGCAGTGTAGTACAAGGACACAATGCAGCGGCCCAGTCCTGAGGTGCTGGGACCAGGAACCCTTGATAGCACTCACTCAGAGCAGTCCAGAGCAGTGATGCAGCTCAGTTATTAGCATAGGGCAAAGGAGTGGCTCACTCCAAAAGTATTGTAGGGAGGGCTGCATATGCTTCCCTGTGATGCTCTGGAGAGCAGGGGCCCAGACCCCTGGAAAGCACTGTGCCTGAGCTCCGTCGGGCTGAACTGGCTACCCCATGGGTTAGGAATGGAGGCCTCGTTTGCCCCACGGGCTTCCCTCCACCCCATCCCCTACTCCCAACATCTTCCACCCCAGTGATTTTCCAAGGGCACAGGATGAAATCGCTGCCAACCACGGGACGGGTAGCCAAAACTGAGCACATTGTCCAGGTATTTATATATGAGCAGGGCCCCAGTGCGCTGGCAGGCAAACAATGAATTCAGATTCTGCTAAAAAGCTTTTGGACAATTAAAGCACATCCCCTGGCCCCCAGCCCAGGGCAGGGCAGTGTAGGGCAGGGCAGGGGAGAGACAGAGAGGAAGACCTATTGGATTAGGTCATGGTCTACGGTGGGCTAGAAGTGAGATGAACAGGGGGAGGATGTGAGAGGCAAGCCGGACGCAAGCAACCTGGCTGGTCACCCCCACCTTCCCTGCCACCATCGCCCCTCCCAGGCCTGGACTTCATCAGAAGCCAAGAACACACTTAATAATAGCTAATACTGATACAGTGCTTACTATGGGCCAGGACCTGTTCTGAACCATATATGTATGTACACAAAATATGTCATCACAGCATCCCATGCAGTATGTTCTATTATTATCCCATCTCACGGACGAGAACACTAAGGGCCCAGAGAAGTCAAGTAACTTGCCCAAGTGTTACACGGCTAGCAGTGCTGGAGCCAGAATTAGAACCCAGATGGCCAAGCCCAAATTCTTGACCACCACACTCGAGGTAAAACACATATTTACATACATGTACAACCACATACACACATGTAAACACACAAACACACACTTGTATACACATTCTAAGTAATGCATTTCACACTCTCTCAGCTAAGACCCACCTATCCTGTCTAGATAGGCTTCTGACACCTCCCAGTTGTCATCTCTTATCCACCAGCTGCCCCCCATCCCCTCTGTCTCCATCTTCTTCTCTCCATCCCCATCTATCCCCCAACCCTCAGTTGTTCCCCGCAACACTACCTATCTGCTCATTCCCAGTTGTCCCTATCCCCCAGATATATCTTCATTGCTAGTGCCCTCCCATTCCTGAGCTGTCACCAATCCCCAGCTGTGATGTTACCTGTAAAATATCCACAATGACACCCCTCCCCAATTTCCCCATCCCACTCTCCCCCCACCGCAACTTCTATAATCAACTCCAACCCCTCAGCAACCGCACCTAGCCCCCTTTGTCCTCATCCCTTCTGATTCACCACCAGGTCCTGGGGTCTGCGCCCTATGAATCTGCCCAAGCTCCCTTGAGACATCCGGTAACAGCCTCTTCTGGGCGGTTTACCCCAGGGGTCTTCCTCTAGCCATTCTGCATGCAATGGCAGCCCCTGCCCAGGGCCAGCCAAGGGGACATACTAGCCGCCATCCACGACTTCCCTCCAGAGCCCTAGCTCCACCCTCCACCCCCACTGAGGCTTCCCTGTGTACCCAGGGGCTCACATCGATGCAAACACTGAGTGGGCACCTGCCATGTACAAGGCTCTTGGGGAGAGTGGGGAAGGAGACAAAAAACAAGTGCCACACACTGTCATAGGTACGTTTGGGAGAACTCTGACCCACTGTGCCAGGAGGTCTTGGAAAGCTCCACTGGGGAAATCACATCACAGACGGACTGTGAAGGCTGAGCCCTGGGTGCTAAGGAAAACCAGAGGGCATCCTCAGTAAGAGCCACAGCTCGTACAAGCGTAGAGAGGTGTGAAAGGGCCTGGCAGGTTATGAGATCAACACTGGCCTGGTGGTCCTGGATCACAAGGTGGATAGGGAGGAGTGGGGTCGGGGTGGAGAGGCATAAGCATGAAGCTGTCATGGAAAGCGGGGGCTGGGTCACGCAGGACCTCACCTGCCATGTTAGAATTTGGGTTTTGTCCCCTGGGTGCTGGAGAACCTTCAGCTTGGGGCAACGGTATGGCAACATCCTATGTCTGCCTGACAGAAGTCATTCAGGTCTCAGGGCAATGGAAGCACTGGAAGACTCATGGGAGAATGGTGACCGAGAGGGGGGCTATTGCAATAGTCCAGGCAAGAAATGATGGGCCTGGGAAGAAGGGGACATGAACTCAACCAAACCTTCTTCAAAGGCTACTGAGTGATGGTCCGTCCAGACTCATTCACTCCCTGAGGTGTCCAGGCCTCACTGAAGATGCTGCGGGTCTCACATCTCTAGACCAGCACTATCCACAGAACTTTCTGCCGTGATGGAAATGTTCTCTGCCTGCACTGACCAATACAATAGCCACTAGCAACATGTGACTCTTGAGGGCTTAAAATTTGGCTGATGAGACTAAGGGACTGAATTTTTATTTTAATGAATTTTTACTAACTTAAATTTAATAACCACATGTGACTAAGTGGCCACCGTATTAGAAAGTGCAGTAGAGAACACGTCCATCACTGTAGAAAAGTTCTATTAGACTGTGCAGCTCTAGACCAACTAACCATGGAAAGCAGAGCCACTGGGGCCTCCTCCTGAGGCTCTTGGCCTTGGGGTCTGAAGGGAGATTAGGAGGCAAGCCCCAGGGAAGTGGGTGTCACAAGTTGAGCTGGCACAGCTCTAGTCCACAGCTGGGCACAGTCACCAGGACACTTTCCATCCAACAGATGCACACCCCTTTCCTGGAGACATACACACCTAACACACAGACACACCAAGCACAGGGCAACCCATGGCCAGACTCAAACACTCAGATATTCCAATGTGTTTGAACCCCATTGCTGGGTACACAGATAGCCCGCACTCAGATATCCAGACACTTGGATACCCCACACCCAGACACCAGGCACCTGGACAGCCCCACAGCTGGACACAACACAGAGACACTCCCACACTTGAACACCCATTAACCTGAGGACTCCCAGACACCTGGATACACGCACCTACCAATCCACAGAAGCTAGGGTATCCTTAGGTTGGCACACTCAGATCCTCCACATCCTGCCACTGGGAGCCCCACACCTAATAGTTCTGCATCCAAACTCCAGGAATTTAACGTTTAGATACCTAGATACCCTAGCATCAGGCTCCCGGGGATCAAAGCAGCTGTTTGCCTCCCTACTACAAATTCAGATCCTGCCACACAAGGTAACAAAATAGCTAGATGCCCTGACAGGTCACACATATGTCCTGTGCCACAGGCTACATTCATACAACCACAATTATACAGACACACACACTCCCCACTCTGACTGCCCATATGCCAGGACTGCACCTGCACACATCTCAGCTGGCCTCAGAGGTCACCACAGGAAGCAGCTTTCCTCCCTTCCCTCAGGCTCACAAGCAGCCAGGACAGAGGCTGTGACCCCACCTGCTCACTTCAAGATCTAGGACTGAGGGAGAGTCTCCCCGCCCTGATTCATTGTCTCTCCCTCCTCCACAGACACTCACACTGACGGTTGGGACTCGATGCCTCTCACCAACTGTCCAGGCCTTCAGCACAAAGACCTATCCACTGACAAGCCTGGCCAGCTGCTGGGGGTGGGGTTGGAGGGCAGTGGGAGGCAGTGCAGGGAGCTGGGGGGAGGTGCTGGCAGGCAAAGACCTGGCCCCTTCCTCTCTGCCAGGGACTTCACATCCCCAACTCACAGCTCCCTGGTGACACTGTCTATATGGCCTTTTCACGCACAACACCATCCCCCAGCAGAATTTTCCAGATTCCTGGAGGGAAGCTTATTTCTTTAATCTCCACTTTCAGTGGAATCAGTGCGCCCCCATCTGGCATCTCCAGCTCAGAATTTGACCCAATGGACTGCATTCTTTCATGGCACATGTATTTTACTCAGCACAAGTGGGCCAGGATTTGTGCCTGGCACTAAGGATTCATAGGTGAACTAAATATTCAGTCCTTGTCCTCACAGAGCTCACAGTCTGTAAGGGAGAAAGGACCAATAAACTGTAATTACAATAATTACAATGCTATAAAAAAATCCAATCAACCCCCACCTTCCCTTCCTAGGCTAGAACAGGGAGTAACCAAGGAAGACTTCAGAGAGGAGGTGATGTCTAAGCTGAGACCTGAAGGAAGAGCAGGAGTTCACCTGGAAAAGAGGTGGAGTTGGAGAGTTCTGGGAAGAAAGCACAGCTTGTGCAAAGGCCCAGAGAAGAGACAGCAGGCAATGCGCATTTAGGGGATACTGATAAATAGGTCAAAGTGGCCAGAGCATAGGATGCAGGGACAAGGAGCATGGAATGAGATGGGGTTGGGCAGGCAGACAGGGGCTAGAACAGGCAACAAGGCAAAGTGGGGTGGGGGGGACTTAACCCTAAAGGCAATGAGGAAGCCTTCAGTGGGTTCCAAACCAGATTCCAAAAGTGAGTTTTTGTTTTAAAAAGATCCCTGGCACCATGGAGGGAGGGAGGGAAGAGGCTGGAGCCTTCCTGCAGGTGAGAGATGGATGAGGATGGAGAGAAGGGGACAGATGAGAGAGATGCTGAGAGTGTGTAAGGGTAGGGATGCATCAGGATGCAGAAGAGGGCTTGGAGGAGGGAAGAGAGTTGAGGGAGGAAGAGGGCACAAGGGACCCCTGCCACTCTAGCTAACCCAGCCCTGCATGAATAGACCACCCCCCAACTCTAGCTTAGCTGATAAAAGCTTGGGAGGATAGCAGCCTGCCTTGAGCAAGCAGGGTACCCACTCTGGATTTTCCCTGACACCTGAACTGGGCAGGAGGCTGCCACAGAGCTAAACATCCCCACTCTCGCCACTTCCTGTAGAGTCCCCTCCCCCAGCCTCAGAGAGAAGGGCCAGCTGCCCAGACAAGCCTTTATTGCCCAACCTGAAACCACTGGGCAGCCTCTCCCTCATTC